CGCACCCAAGACATTCCTTTATCTCTCCACCTGATGGAAACAACAACTGTCCCCACAAGAACCAGCCACCTCTGCAGCTCCAACAGCTACACTTAGTAGACAAGGACTAGCACCCACTCCAGAGCCACCTGATCACCAAATAAACACACACAAATTTTTTTAAAAATCACAATGTCTCAGAGACAACAGGCAATTGCAGATCATTTGAAGAGACAAGATAGCGTGCAGTAAGTAAGTGCCCAATATACAGAGCCAAAGGCCTTCCTGGGGAAAATAAGGCGTTGGAACACCAGAAAAGGAATTCAGAAGAATGATTCATAGAGACTTTCAACAGAAGGAAAAAAGATTGAGAGAACTATGGAACACACACACACACACACACACACACAGATTTTAAATTCAGGAAAATACTGTCAGTGAAATCTGACAAAAAAGTAAAGAAAAAAATTAGAGACCACATAAAACAGTACATAGAAATCTAGAACATGAATACTAATATATTAGAACTAGAAAATATATTTTTAAAGTAAAGCAGAATTGAAGTAATGGAGAGCTGAATTAGTGAGCCTGGAGGCAATTCTCTTAATACCACACTATACAAAGGATGGTTTATAAGAAGAACAAACAACGGGCTTGAGTAGAAAGCAAATGATTTGACAATGATGATGGCAACACATGTACAAATGTGCTTGACACAATGGATGGACTGCGATAAGAGTTGTACGAGCCCCCAATAAAATGATTAAAAAAAGAAGAAAAACAACAAACAAATCAAAGGCGAGTTTAACAAACACGTGGTGACACTAGCAAGAAGAACACGTGGGACAGGGATTCCAGACCAGGAATAAACAACAAAAAAGGCTCAGCGAGAATCGTCCAGAAACTACCTAACGTCGTGAAAGAGAAAATAACCATTCAAACAGAAAGAACCCCGAACAGGATCACGCACAAAAGGAAATCACCATGACGTGTTATAATCAAGCTTTTCAAAATCAAAGACGAGGAAAGGATCCTGAGATCAGCATGGCAAAGTCAAAAAGTTACTTTAGATGAAGAACCAATACGACTGAAACTATTTCAGCAGAAACTATGAAAGCAAGAAAGAAATGGGATGACATATATAAAACTCTGAAAGAGAAAAATAATTGTCAACTGAGAATCTTATATCCAGCTAAACTGTCCCTCGAATAGGAGGGAGAGATAGTGGTATTGCCAGATGAGGAAAAGCTAAAGGAATCGTGAAAAGACCAACCTCGTGTAAAGTACTCGGGGCAGTTCTTTAGACAGTGAATCGGAAGCGACAAC